AGGGGCCTTGGGTGTGAATGTCCGAGTGTGCAGGGGCCATGGGTGTGAATACCCGACTGTGCAGGGGCCATGGATGTGAATGTCCGAGTGTGCAGTGGCCATGGGTGTGAATGCCCGACTGTGCGGGGGCCATGGATGTGAGTGCCCGAGTGTGCAGTGGCCATGGGTGTGAATGCCCGACTGTGTGGGGGCCATGGGTGTGAATGCCCGAGTGTGCAGGGGCCATGGATGTGAGTGCCCGAGTGTGCAGTGGCCATGGGTGTGAATGCCCGAGTGTGCAGTGGCCATGGATGTGAATGCCCGAGTGTGCAGGGGCCATGGATGTGAATGCCCAAGTGTGCGGGGGCCATGGATGTGAGTGCCCGACTGTGCAGGGGCCATGGATGTGAATGTCCGAGTGTGCAGGGGCCATGGGTGTGAGTGCCCGAGTGTGCAGGGGCCATGGATGTGAATGCCCGAGTGTGCAGGGGCCATGGATGTGAATGCCCGAGTGTGCGGGGGCCATGGATGTGAATGTCCGAGTGTGCAGTGGCCATGGATGTGAATGCCCGAGTGTGCGGGGGCCATGGATGTGAATGCCCGAGTGTGCGGGGGCCATGGATGTGAATGCCCGAGTGTGCGGGAGCCATGGATGTGAATGTCCGAGTGTGCGGGGGCCATGGGTGTGAATGCCCGAGTGTGCGGGGGCCATGGATGTGAATGTCCGAGTGTGCGGGGGCCATGGGTGTGAATGCCCGACTGTGCAGGGGCCATGGGTGTGAATGCCCGAGTGTGCAGGGGCCATGGATGTGAATGCCCGAGTGTGCGGGGGCCATGGATGTGAATGCCCGAGTGTGCAGTGGCCATGGATGTGAGTGCCCGACTGTGCAGGGGCCATGGGTGTGAATGCCCGAGTGTGCGGGGGCCATGGATGTGAGTGCCCGAGTGTGCAGGGGCCATGGATGTGAGTGCCCGAGTGTGCAGGGGCCATGGGTGTGAATGCCCGAGTGTGCGGGGGCCATGGATGTGAGTGCCCGAGTGTGCAGGGGCCATGGGTGTGAATGTCCGAGTGTGCAGGGGCCATGGATGTGAATGCCCGAGTGTGCGGGGGCCATGGATGTGAGTGCCCGAGTGTGCAGGGGCCATGGGTGTGAATGTCCGAGTGTGCAGGGGCCATGGATGTGAGTGCCCAAATGTGCAGGGGCCATGGATGTGAGTGCCCGAGTGTGCAGGGGCCATGGGTGTGAATGCCCAAATGTGCAGGGGCCATGGATGTGAGTGCCCGAGTGTGCGGTGGCCATGGATGTGAGTGCCCGAGTGTGCGGGGGCCATGGGTGTGAATGCCCGAGTGTGCGGGGGCCATGGATATGAGTGCCCAAATGTGCAGGGGCCATGGATGTGAGTGCCCGAGTGTGCAAGGGCCATTGGTGTGAATGCCCGAGTGTGCAGGGGTCATGGGTGTGAATGCCCGAGTGTGCAGGGGCCATGGATGTGAATGCCCGAGTGTGCGGGAGCCATGGATGTGAGTGCCCGAGTGTGCAGGGGCCATGGATGTGAATGTCCGAGTGTGCAGGGGCCATGGATGTGAATGCCCGAGTGTGCGGGGGC